ACCACATGTATGACATTTGTCAATCATATATCTATATAGTTATTACTTTCCCATTACTGTAATATTTTCCTTGTCTTTTTATATATATTTTTTTAGTAATTGGTCTGATGAAGTTTCCTCTTTAGTATCTAGACTTTATGTATTTAAGCACAATACCAGACTGGTGTCAAGGTTTTACAGTTGAAATGGTTAGATAAGTTCTATGCTAACAGCTTCTCTTGCACTTCTTGCTTGTAGAACTCTTTTCTAGCCAACTTTGTTCTTTTATTGTTCTTTCTCCTTACTAATGTTTTCTTTTTTTTATATTCTTTATTGCCTTGCTTGGAGAGAAATCATTTAAAAAAAACATGAAGAATTACAGTATTTTTAGTAGGCTTGTATTTAGGCATAGCTATAGTTTGTAAATTGTAGAAAATTTACTTGTCAAAATACATGTTGCTAAATGATTGCAAATGACTAAAAAATCTTGGGAAATGTATAACAAGTATTTTTATATCAATACACTGCTTATAATATAGTTCTTTGGTTGATGTGGAGAATTTGGTGGGGAGGGGAAATCAAAAATCTTTTAATGGCATGAGGTAAAAAAAAACAAAATAAAAAAATCCATTGCCTCAGTGATCAAAGCTTAAGTAATTTTACAGAAGTGATATACTATCTTTTTATGAGAAACCAATCAGTGTACCTATTTAGTAAACTATTTAAAATGTAAAACTCATTCTCTGTCTTTGAATGTACAATGCTTGATTCATTTACAATGTAAGTATATTTTTTATTCATTTCTATACATTGACAATTTGCATGTTGTTAATAATAAATAATATCCTTTTCCCATTGAATCAATTTAAGATTATGAAATTGCCATAAGAAATAGTAGGAACTGTTGTGACCAATTGAACACAGATAATTTTCACTATATTATGATGATTTCAGATACAGGTCAACTAATCTACCATGAGTCTGTTGTTACTATGTAAGTTTCTCAAACTATTTCTAACAATTTATAATCAGCTGTCACTTTTTTCTGTATGCCCCATTATTTGTTATTACTAAAGGATTGCTAAAAATCATTGTCATCTAAAAGAAAAATCATTTTGAAACAATACAAGAGGCATACCACTTGTGGTTAGTTTATTTGAAACATCTGTGGTACTGATGAGATATAAAAATTTTTTTATAATACAATAATTGTCAAAAAGATTCTGAAATTACATAACCATCATGTATGATCTTCATAACAATTGCTAGTTATGCAGCTCATGTGACAGCTTTTGTGATACAATTGCCTAGAAGGAAGTTTTGCATCTGTTATTACATAATTGGCAAATAGCTCTCTTTGCAATAGCCATTTCAGTTAATATATGCAACTTTTATTGCATTATTAGTATTTGTGGTTTCTAGTCGGTATTTTTATTCGCGAGCCCACGTCACAATGTAGAATGTGACACAAGGTCGAGGTTAAATGTGGAAAGCCGCTATAAGCCGGATAATGATCCTAGCCCGCTCCCGAAGGACAGGTAGTCTGGGGAATGGCACCCTGGGTCTTGAGCAAGCTACCCCGCTCGTGGTGGGGAAGTACGACCCTTAAAGTAGGATCGGTTGTGGTTTCTTGTAGATTCCTTTAAAAATTACAGGATTATGCTTTTTAAATACAAGCTTTGGATTTTTTTTTTGCATTTAAAAACAAAAATGAAGTGTAATTTTTTTGTTTTTAATGAAAACATGTGGTTTTAAAAAAAAAACAAATAAACAAAAAACACAAGAAAACAAAAAAGAAAAATGACAATTTTTTTTTACTTTTCTTGAGAAGAAAGTGTTGTTTTTCGTTGTATTAATTTCGGTGATGTTAAACAATTTTTAATTAAATCATTGACAATTACGAGATTTCTTATAAACATGGAAAAAAATGTTAAAAAAGGTGATCTGGTAATAGAACTGTACTCAATAATAGTCACTACTAGTAGTCAGTCAAACAGTAAAAATGCTACAATTGCCATGTGACTGAGGAGCATATTCATTTTTTTTATTTGTTAATTTCTCATCCAATATCTGACCTGACCATATTGTAAATAAATGCATTGTCGTCTTTGATTATGAAAATAATTAACGTATTTCTTTGGTTTTTTTAATTAAAAACTATTACTACAGCAAAAAAAAAAGAAGAAGTTTTTAACTGTGAATTTTTAATATGAGGCATAGTAAAAAAAACAAATAAACAAAAAATCCACCATTAACCGGCGACATAATGAGAAAAATTATTTCTTGCATAGTCTAAGAGTTGAAGCAGCAAAGTTGTGGATAACGTCAGACGTGAATTAAAACGTACGTTTTTTTTTTTAACTTAATAGTAAATAAAATTTACATGAAAATGAATGCTTTTGAATTGATCTATAATCCTAAGCATTTCCATTTCAAGTCAAAACTACTTCTAAGAACGGAACGACAGCTTTGTCGTTCTGTAAGAAAAGTTCTCTTCTCTTTGCTGACAAAATGTACATATGACGTTTCGGCTTCCATACAGATTCACTGGCTTTCATCAGTAAGTCAGACTAATTTTAGTAACATCCTGGTAAAATGGTAATGGTTTTTTTAAGAGTATTATTATTATTTTAAAATAATCTTTTTCTTGAATTTGAGATATCTGGTTTAACTTAAAAAGTAAAAACTATATCAAAGGAACAATGAGTTGTAAGTGTAGAATTAATTCAAGTTGTTTGTAACTAAAGGTGACAAGTGATAGTTTGTTTAAATGTCACAGGTGAAGGACTGAAGGCAAAACAGAAAACACGGATGACCACATAAAGACGGAGAGTAGGATAAGGAACCGCATATGATGAATAAAAAATTCCTAAAAACAACAACGACAGTTTAAAATAAAAATATAAGTTGTGCGTTACAAGGTGAATAATTAAATATGATAACAATATAACATTTTTATTCGTGTAATTTTTTTAAGGTAGAACAATGCGGGAGATTTTTATGAGCCCACAAAAATCCAAAAATGTCTATTACTTTTCTGTTGTTTGTCATTTGTGAACATTTGTCAGATTTTATGACGGTAGTGTAGTAAAAAGAAAACTATTTTTTTTTAATGTGATTTCTTATTTTCAATTCATTATAATCTAAAAAAAAAAAAAAAAAAAAAAAACAAGCAGAAAATGCTGCTGCGAAATTTTAAATGAGATTTTTATGTGAAACCAGGTAAAAAAAATTACCCATCCTCGAACAAATGCGTGAACAGGTGTAATAGGCAAGTCATTTTTACACATATACGCGTGTGCGGCAGAAGCGGGAAGAGTCGCTAAAAAGAATGTACAGACATTTAACGCTGCATGTGCTGCGACTTTGTCTAATAGAGACATGGGCGCAGAATTTTGTTAGAATCGGCAGACAAATACTTCGTCGGCCATTTGCCGTTATTCACTTCGTGAATTAAGCTATGCAACAATAGAAGACAAAGAAAATAATTAACTTTCAACCTTTTTCTCGTAATGAGAAATAAAAGAAAACTTGAAAAGAAAGAAAGAAAATCGATGATAAAGAAGAGATGGTGAAAGAGAGGGAGAAGAAACGAAAGGGAGAAACGAATAGAGGCGGTTCCTCTTCCTGCAGTCATTTCTCTTTTTAGTGATACAATTTCACTATGGTACTTACACTGACTAGTAGTGTTTTTTTTTAGTTTTGCAAAGATTTTGTTCTGTTTGACAAGTTGCCTCTTGATTGAATAACAAAGACATTAATTATTATTTACTTTTTAGGCCAAAACTCATTATTTTCATCTTTTTCTAATTGCTGAAGCAAGTCGCTAAAAAAGAAAGAAAGAAAAAACCCAAAATATTTTGGTAACAATAACATAAATTATTCAAACAAAAAAAAAAATGTAAAACAAAAGTTTTTTACAACTTACCAAAAACGTAAAAAACTTAAAATCTCTTGGCACGGTTCTAATTTTGACTATTAATTAAAAATAAAATATTTTCTTAACTATACTTGTAGAAAATTAATAAGAATTAGGAAGCAAGATTTTTATGAAGACTATTGTAACACTAACAGTCTGTAAAACTAAAAGTAAAAAACAAAAAAAAAAAAAACTATTATTTTACTTTTAAAACTATAGTTCAATAAAAATTAAAATTACTAAAATAAATTTAAATTATGGTGAATAATTTCTTTTGGTTGTATTAATTAAAAAAATATTATAAAATAAAAGTTAAAAAAAATTTTAACAACAAAAAAACTTCTGTCATGCATCACACTTTTGAAAACAATAACATTTTTATAACAATATTCTTATGAAATCAACATTTCCCTTTATGCACAAGGCCAAGGGGATGCAGGTGTACAAAAGGTCTGCATAATATGCATGTTGAAATTTATTTAAATTACTTGACTCACGACTTTTTCACACATCACGTAAACACGCATACATTATTATGACTGATGTACATTACTGCATACATTACATATTTTTATTTGAAGGCATTGTGAGTAAAGAAGCAAGAACTCTTGTTTTAAATGCACGGACGTTTTTGTACACATGCTTAGCTTACACATCCCTTCAGTATTTATGGATAATGAAAGAAAAAGCATATTTGCTTGTTGTAATTTTGGTCACCCGTAGGAAAAGATAAACTAAAAAAACTCATTTATTGTTGGAGTCGATAAAGCGAAACTGTATGTATAGTCATAATAATCTATTGTTTAATTGGTCAAAGTAAATTTATGTTACCAATGCTTATGTTTTCCGATGTTTAATATGTACAACATGACATAATTATAGTTTTTATTTTTAAATTTGTTGTGCCCCCTCCCCATTTAAGTACTGATGACAAGGCTTGATCTCAGATCTTGCGTCTTGAACAGACTTTACGGAAGATACCGAAGAGAGCCGAAATCTTATCGTGTTAATAATGGCTGACAGTGGACTGTACTTACGGACTACTACTACAGGGATGTACAAGGAGTTAAAGTTTTCCTGATAGAACATGGAAGTGTGAGCCATGAGCTCGTGTGAGCAAGCCGAAGAAAACATCAGTGATAGTGAGGTGGCCCATTATTACAAACCAGGTAAATAAAAGCCTTTTTTTAAAAATTCTTCCCAAAAATCAGAGACTAACAGACAATGTGATTACTACTGTTACTACTACCAACAGACCAAACCGGGCATCATGGCTGAAGCTCTCCAATTGATTTAAAAAATACTTTTTGTGTTAAAAACTAGTGTTCATAATACAGAATTATCTGCAAAGAATAGATTTATTTCTATTTGGAGAAATGTTGCAATATTTGGGTTGTGTAGAGTGAAATTTCGCATGTGGAGATTATATTTTAATTAGGGTGTAATAATGTTGCCTCTTCCTTCGTCATCGTGCCCCTTGCTTTTTAGTTAGTAGCCACAAAGTAGGGGAAGCATTCATTTCTTTTTTTCTGTCTACAATTTTGCCTTGTTCTGTTTGTCTTCATTACGAATCTTCATCTGCTGATATTTTAATTAATTTTTTTTAAGTAAGATTTATAATTTCGAAAGTAAAAATTTGTAGTTATGATGAATCGGCTTTCATCATTTACATTACAAGTCATCTCGTTTTCATGTCGATTTCATCTTTGATCATTATTTACAAATAGTAAAATTTGTTTCCGATAGCAATCGTTTCTATGCATTTTACCGTGATTACTGTTTTATTACTATTTTTGCTTCATTTTCGTGTTTAACTCAACAATAAATTATATTTTCACCGCTACGACAATCATTATGCTCACTTTTTTTTTTTTTCCAACTTAAGTCTTTTTTTTTTTTTTTTTCACGCACTCAGAATTTAACCTGGTATCTTATTCTTGATTGCCAATTTATTGTATATGACAATAAAATATTTAAAATTTAAAAAAAATGAATTATATATGTTTTTTTTTTTGTGGGCGATGACAATGGAGTATTATCAGATTTTTTACTTTTTTGTTTTGAGAAAAAATAAATTGATATCTTGGTTAGAATCCCGTGTAAACGACTCCTGTGTAATCGGATTATTTTATCTTTTTCTTCACCATGTCAAGATTGTATTTAACTTGAATAATTGACTGCTTCTGAAGAAGTAAAATTTCTGGTTTTACAAACTACGAATGTTGACTTTATTGAATATTAAATATGTATTTTAAGTTATTTATTGATTGTGTTTACTTTAGGTTAATAAGAAAGAATAGATGATGAGCTAATTAATGAAGTTTTATGGATTTTTAATTTTTTGTATTCCCTCTTATGCTTTTGATATTTCTTAAAGGCAAAAAATAGGTTTGTGGGGAATTTTTGGAGATGGTTTGATTGAAAAAGATCCATTAATTTTTTTGTTGCTGTACAATTCAAGAAGACAGGTAAAAAACTGTAAATCTTCAAGAGGATACATAAAATTATTTCATCTAATTTAGTTAAATAAATGCAATCATTTTAGTAAGAATAGTTGTCTTGTGATGTCGATGTTAAAGAGTGTCGTGTGTGTGAACATCGTTTTCTTTAACTGCACGCGTATATTTCACGATTTTTTTATCTATTCATCCCAGTGGATAGCATCCTCCTTTTTATGCAGTATTTCGTCTAGTTGCACATTTTAATTTTACTTATTAATAGTGAAAAATGCCGCGAAAAAAATTTTTTTATTGAAATCGTATGAAATATTATTCACCTCAAAATTATTTTTGTTATTGTTACGAATTAAAACTTTTTCTAATTCTTTTTTTTCGTCAAATCTTTATCAAACTACACAAATACGTACCACTTCTATTGGGTAGTAGACTTAATTTTAGAGTTGATCACGAAAATGATTGACCATAATTTTTATTCTGTTTTAAATTTTTGACTGCTAAAAGAGGAGGGGGGGCGCGAACGCTTCATCGAAGCGGAATGTTTCAAAGAATTTCTCTGACTACGATAAAACATTTATGGTTTTTTTTGTGTAATTGATTATAAAAGAAAAGATGAAAGGTAACAAATTATGTCCCAGTAAGCAATGTAAAAAAAAAAAAAAAAGTCTAGGCAATTATTTTTTCTTCATCTTTTCTTTTTATGTGTTTTGTGAACGAGAGAGTGAAGGCGCCTCTTGCCTTTATACTTTTTCTTCTTTCTAAATACTTTTTTAAAGACTGAGCCATCGTCAGGCATCTTGCTTTAGTAGTTGCTTAGTGGACATCTTCATCTTTAATTATTTGCTTCCTAATTTATGTTTTCTGCGACCGTGATGGTCGATGTGTATTGTGTAGTAGTAGCAGAAGAGAAGCTTTTTAGTTAGTACTGTTCAGTGATTCACATTCAGTATCTCAATTATACAAGACAAGAGTGACTAAAATAATTTTATTTTTAAAGAATAAAGAAATTAGACATCTCAGATTTATGAGTACTGTATCATCTACCATTTATTCGCCGTATTTCTTTTTTAGTCTTCGTCAGTATTATTTTGCCTTCGTAAAAATGGTGAAGAGAACTTTGTTGATCTATTTTTTATTATAGCTTTAAAAATTGTTTTATGATACAGAGAACTCTCTTAATTCGATTTGATCTGTTTTTAAAGTATTTTAAAAGATGCATAACAGGATCCTGTTACTTTTTATTTGTCTAGTCTCCCTGCTTGATGGATATCTTCAGTTCATGTTGTTTGTCTATAAAGGTGATGATGCCAAGTTCTTAAATTGGGCCGTTCCTTCATTTATTTTCAATACATAATTCAGTTCATCTTTTAGCTCTTCAAATTCATTTCCAATAATAAAGTATTCCCCCTCCTCCAAAAAAGAACGTATGTAAGCAACATTACTAGTGTTTAAGTCTATGATTGAACTAACATTTAATATTGTTTGTTTCAAGAACTTATTTCTGAAGTTCCAACAGATTTGAAATCTAAAAAAATAAAGGAGAACATTTTTGGAAGTAGTGCCCTTTTTATTTATTAAACATTTTAAAATTTACTTTTAATTAAGTAAATTCAGCTGAGAATTTCTTTTAATTCAACTTTAAACAAATTCACTTTTAAAATTAATCAATAAAAAATCAATAGCTAATTGGCAAATTGCCGAAAAACATTAAATCTTAAGTATGAATCAAGGGGACAATAATTTAGTAGCAATTATATAGAATCAATTCAAGAACCAGGCCTTCCAAGTGTTGAAATTTGGAAGCCTTTTTAAACCAACAAAACATGACACAAGTAACGTTTTTAATTCTTTCAGTTTTACCCACCCTCATTCACACTTCCTGCTTTTCCATAACTTCCTCTGTGAACAGAGAACAATTCCTGCTAAATTGATACAATTTACTGTTGTTATTAGCTACACTTGCAAGAGAAAGTTCAGTTTTCACCAGGATGAATGCTATTTTTTTTATTACGTTATTTCTGAAAGAAAATATTTTCTAAGTCATCTTCTTTAATAACTTTTAGTTTTTTTCAGTCACTGTTGTTGTTAGTGTTGTTTAATAAAATTGTAGTTTTTTTTTTTTTTTTTTAAATACTGAAATTCATTTATTTTTTTATTATTAAGTAACTAAGTGTCTTCCAAATAGAGGGAGTTCCTAATGCTGTCGGCATATTGCTGAGTTGAAGTAAATGAAATTAAAGCAGAAATGGAATTTTGTTTTGTTCACTTATTATTAGATCTGCATAAAAAACAGTTGTGAAGTACAATGCAGTGAGCAGAAAGTTAAAAAAGCATTACTTTTTTCTTTTGGAGTTGCAATTTAATTTATTCTATTTTCTATTGCGGTAGCTTTTAATTTGAATTTCCGTTATTTTTCTAGTTGAATTGTTTACTTTTTGACTTTTGAGTAGATTGCTACTCGTCATTAAAATGTCAACATAGGACATGGGATTTTTATGAACCTTAAGATTATTTGTAACTGAATTATCAAAAACGATTTTTTTTTTTTTTTAGGCATGTGTTTTTAGTTTCTGCAAGGTAATGAAAAAAAAAAAAGTACATTGTCATGTTACATCGCCAAACTAATTTTTTACTTTAATACTTAGTTTTCTTCAGGATTAAAAATCAGTTCAAGTCTGTTGTTGAGAATGTTAGTTCTTTTAAAAAATGTCATTCCCATAGTGTTGAACCATAGTAGCTAAAACTGTTTGCACTGCTCACTTCCTGTTGTCATGCAAACGTCGCGATCATTTCCTTAGCTGTCTTTGTGAAACCTTAGAGAAAGACAACACGAAATGACCACTGATAGAGGGAAGAATTGAACAAAAAAATCAATTGCTGTTTGCTTTAAGAAATATGCATTTTTTTCAATTTTGAAATTATTTTACTTAAAATTTGGTTAATTTCCTTACTCTTTTTCTTTTACAATGAACAAATATTTTGAATTCTAACTGAAAACAATTTTTGTTACTACTACTACTTACTTAGACATACATTTCGGTTGGAGTTTGGTTTGAAAAAAAAATAACTTTATATATGAAGATTATAAGATTGTTCAAGAAATAAATTTTACAGGTAAACCTACGAAAACTTGAAAATTTAACTTCTGAAATTATTTTTTTCTATTTGGCATTAATGCTGATTGGCTGATTGTTTGCAGTGTATTTCATTCAGATTCTTAGTTTTAAAAAGGTTCTGTAGAGAATTTTCACTCTCATTTAATTTTTTTCTATTTCTAAATCCCTTTGGGAAAGTATTGAAAAAAATTACATTTTTAAACTTAAAGAAGATCGATTGTGCCCTATATTATCACATGATAAAATCAAATGATATATTTTATTAATGTCCCATTGTTTTTTGTTTTGATGACTCTTTGATTTTCCTACTGAATACATTTTCTATATGCAACTACAATTGGAATGAATAGATGAATTTTAATCTTGCTTTCTGTTATTTTCAGTTAAATTTATAAAACAATATTTCGACCCTTCTAAAAAAAAAAAATTACTGGTTCCATTGTAATTTAATGGTTAAATTATACCACATTTTAAATAAACAGTAACAGTTTATTCTCTCTTTTGATGTTTCTTCTGCATTTTAGTATTATTAACTAAGAAAAAACCCAAAATATTTGGTAACAATAACATAAATTATTCAAATAAAAAAAAAAGTAA